TTTAAATTTGGTATAGGGTCTCTCTATGCAGCGTGGACTTGGTGATTCTCCTGTCTCAGCCTCCCCAGTGCTGGACAGGTGTGTGCAACCATGCCTGGTTTCAGTGGCTGGCTCAATTGGTGCAGCTGAGGTTCCAGGGCAGTACTAGGGATCAAACCCAGGCCCTTGTACTTTCTAAGGAGGCGCTTAGACCAATGAGCTATCTCCCTGGACCTGACGTTTTCTTCTTCCGTGTGGCTGCATATTCTTACACTGAATGGACAGATGTGCCAATTTATTTAACCAGTCTCCTTCTATGTCTGCTACTATGTCTATTTACTTCTAGTTTTCACTGCATAAAACTGGTGATTCACCTTGTAAATAGGTCATTTTTCATATGTAAAAACATACCTGAGGTGTAAATTCCTAGATAATGAATTAATAAAAGGTTCTGTGATTGTAGGCATAACCTGTAAACAACTAGAATTCCCTAAGCCATGTGGCTGGGCTGTTCTGCTTGTTTTCTTTTGCTGGGATACCTGATATAGGAAATGATTTAGCAAAAGCATCTTCATTCAGTATGTTCCTACTATTCATTAGATATCTGCTCAGTTTCAGGTTTCATGTCATAAGGACCCATGAGCCCTGCCCTTTAGGAGGTTAATGGGGGGAAGAACTATTGACCATATAGTTAGATATGAATTTTGACAATATTGCATCTGACTTCATAGACTTATCATTTGCACCAAATAGCCAGTCTTTGTAGAATTCCAGCCAGCTGGCCAGTGGAGCTTGGAGTAGGTCCTTGTCCCTTAGTAAGCTCTCTCCCCAAAGTCACAATTTTGGTTGGAATACATACAGTAAATGAGAATCATTCCTTTTAGCCCTTTCCCCTTTGTTCCCCATCTGTTTGGCCTTAAGAGAAGGGAATCAGAGTATGTGGGTGGCCAGACACAAAGGAACATGAGTAGCACAAAGTTTTAAGTTTCCCAAGCACAGGTTCCACCACTGAAGGCTTTCCCCACCCTGTTTACCTTCCCTACAAATTAAAGTCATCTTTTACCTACTTGATTACCTCTTTTGGCAGCCCTGCCTCCTATCTGGGTCCTGTTAACTAACCTATGAGAATGGTAAAGGCCAAAGGAGGACAGCAAAGGTTTGCTTTTTAGAACCCAATTGGAAAAAAAAAACCAATTGGGAGAGCGGGGATAAGTGATTGACAAGATAGTGCTAGGCATTGTTTCTCTTGACTTGTTTTACCTGTGAAAGGGACTGGCAGGCAGGATATGAAATATGTTTTTGATTCTAGGTGATTGTTCACAGTAGAAGCAGTATAACATAGAAATGTAGTCTTGGCCTAGGAGAGAAGACCTGGTTTGAATCTTGCTTTTGTCATTGATTTCTGTGTGTTTTAGAAGAAGTTATAGAACTTTTCCATCAGTGAAATGGGGACAATGATAGTACCTAACTAATGGAGGTTTTGGAGGGACCACGGGAAGTGCTCAGTACATTGTGTGGCATATGCATTTCAAAAAACTAAGTTAACTATCATTAATATTATTTTTTTGTGGTCACTACTTCATTTATTTTCCTACAGTTAATCTTCCTATAGCTTCAACATTTTGCCTTATAGTTAAACAAAAGGTTAGAACTGGATCACTTGACCCTTTCTCTTGTCTCCTCCCAGTTCAAAGTGCTTGCATCTTTTTTTTTTCCTAATGCATTTAGTTCAGGGGATACAGGGTATCAGGGTCTCACTATGTAGATGAGACTCCTAGTGAGTCTCCTGTTTCAGACTCCCAAGTGCTGGGATTGCAGGCGCACACCACCATGCCCAGTCTCAATCGCTATCTCAGTGCGCCCCATGGGCAGGGCCGGCTCCGCACGCCACGGGTGGAACCTTGGCCACTGTGCTCTGCCTAAGCAGCGCTTTAGTCCACTGAGCTATTCTGCCAGTCCTGCTTGCATTTCTTAATGGCCATTATTCTCTTCGATCTGCAGTATGGCTCCACACACTGAAGCCTCAACACAATCTTCTTTGTCATTTTAGCCTTCTTCCGGAAAATGTGTTTTGTCTGCCCACTGTAGCCACTCTGCTTCCCACTGTATTGCCTCTTTCCTTGGGCATACAGGGAATTCTTGCCCTTCTTATATATACTGGGTCACTTTGAGAGGCTGATGCTTGCCACACTTCTTACAGAAAGTCCTTTGGGTTTTAGGTACATTTACTTTCTTGGCAGTAGAGCTGACTACATGATGAAAATGAGAAGTCCAGCACCCTAACTCCTTGCCTTGCACAGCTCGTGCCTCACAGGAAAGGATTAATATTATTTTTATTGCTAATGTTTTTCAGAAGGTGCTTCCTGGAGGGGCCTTTCCCACTGTTCCTGTGCTGAGTTCCAGGATAGCCTCAACTTCAGCTACCACCCCTCAGGCTTGAGCTTGCACCTCAGACCACCTAGTCGGGGAAGCTCCCCCCAGGAGCAGCCCCTCTCCCAAGTCCTAAGCCCTGAGCCCCCAGACCCAGAGAAGCTTCCTGTGCCCCCTGCTCCTCCATCCAAGAGGCACTGCCGCTCACTTTCAGTGCCCGTGGACCTGTCTCGCTGGCAGCCAGTGTGGCGGCCTGCCCCCTCCAAGCTGTGGACTCCCATCAAGCACCGGGGCAGTGGTGGAGGGGGTGGGCCACAGGTGCCTCACCAGAGCCCCCCGAAGCGGGTCTCCAGCCTCAGGTTCCTCCAAGCTCCCAGTGCCTCTTCTCAGTGTGCCCCAGCCCACAGACCCTACAGCCCTCCTTTCTTCAGCCTGGCCCTGGCCCAAGATTCTTCTCGACCCTGTGCCACCTCCCCTCAAAGTGGCTCTTGGGAAAGTGATGCTGAGTCCCTGTCACCTTGTCCACCCCAGCGCCGCTTTTCCCTGTCACCCAGCCTGGGCCCACAGGCAAGCCGTTTCTTGCCCTCTGCTCGGAGCTCCCCTGCATCCTCCCCAGAGTTGCCATGGCGACCTAGAGGTCTCCGAAACCTTCCCCGAAGCCGCTCACAGCCTTGTGATCTGGATGCCCGCAAAACTGGGATCAAGCGGCGCCATGAAGAGGACCCCCGGCGGTTGCGGCCATCCTTGGACTTCGACAAGATGAATCAGGTGGGACCAGGAAGATTAGGGGACCTTGGAAGGGGGAGTATGTGTGTTTCTTTACATTTTCGTGGACAGGATGTTGTTATATAGTTCAGGCTGGCCTTCAACTCACTGTGTAGACCAGACTCGCCTCCACCTCAGGCAGTCTTCTTGCCTCAGCCTCTTGAGTGCTAGAATCACAGGTGTATACCACCATTCCCAGCTGTTTCTACTGTTGAGCTGTTGCCTGGCTCCATTCCCTCCTGGAAGGGCCTCCCCAAAGCTCTTTTTTTTAAGGTTTGCATGGAGCTGTTCTAGTTTTAGGAAGTCTTCTGTCCGCTCAGAGTACTCAACTTCCCAAAGAAACTGTGTGAGGAGCATGTTAAACCGACAGGGATTCTAGATTGGCCTTTGACAGGCATCTTCCCTCCTAAGAATGCATCAGTTGTAAAAATCACATTGACATGCCCCTCTCCTACTCAGAGCTGTTTTTTTTTTTTTTTAA